AAATAGATTAAGATCAGTGATGAGAACCATTAGCCGCAGTCCTGAAGAAAGATGAAACCTAAATTACATTTTTGATTTTCGAGCTTGATAACTGAACATACTGGCAAAGAGTTTCCAGACAAGTGACTGTAACTAGATTTAATAAATTCAGTCAAAAGCTTTTGAAGTCTTTGCAAGTTCATTTTTATGTCTGTCGAAATGAACGTTTAACTAAAAGGAACAGTTCAATTAACTAAATTGGCTTAAACGTCTGAGGTAATTATCAACGAGGAAAATGATAGAGGAAAAAAAATCTGGCATATCAGCATTCTTGGTTTAACTGCATCACTTTAGGGTCTGTATAGGATCTGTGGAACGCTGTAGAGGTCTTCCAGCCAGAGCCACACAGTCACTGCCTGCAACTGGTCTCTTACAGCCTATCCATCATCTCGCTGTGGCCAGTTTGCAATTAGGATAACATCTTGGCTTTCTTTCAATAAAAGCTGCCACCTCCTCCTTTCTTTCTCTCTCCTCCATCTCCTCTCTGCCTCACTAGTTTAGCCTCCTTCTCCTTTTCTCCCCAGCATTTTTTTTCCTTTTTCTGCTTTCTTGCAAAATGTATTTCCACTGCTGCACAGAGTCGATGCCAAAAGGAGTTGTGTCTCTTAGATTTTTTACCCTTCACAACATAGTGCATGCAACTTCCTGAACTCAATTTAACCCCAGCCTTTAGAGGCTTAATAGCTCCATTACATGCTGCCTTTACCCTGGGGTCTCTGAAAGGTGCGCGGGGCTTTTCGAGTCTTTGTTCTCCAAAGGGTGACTGTCTTTTCTAGCACACACTGTGATTTTTTTTTTCTTTCCACGTCTGCGCAAACCTGCTACATCTTCTGCAAATGAATGCATACATGGATTGACTTGCCAAAAAAAAACACAGAGGCACACGGGTGTCAGCCATAGCAACACATGGCCCAAACAACAGCCGCACTAACACATGGCTCAAACATTGTCAAATGCCTAATCTGGTCCCGCATCCACAGGGAGCATGCATGATGTAGGACTTCTGCTGCTGTCGTCATTTAATGCGCTCCATTTTCGGGGGCAACTGGGAGACTGTAAAGGCATCTACGGAGGGCAGAGCTCAACAAAGCATCTGCATGCAACATATCTCCTTAGCTCACCACTCAGCAGTTGTGGATCATAAATGTGACAGAATTGTTAGCACAGTGTTCATTTTGGTTCCAAATGAAGAAAGGACTTTTGTTTTCTTTTACATAGGGCTAACATGACTTTTTTGTGGCCTGATTTGGTTTGAAGGAGAAAAAGCAATGAATTTAGTTGGTATACTGTGATGACTTGGTATAAGCATGAGATCCCATCATCATCGTTTTTTAACACAAAGAGACTAAATGACTAATAGACTTCTCAGTTTTTTAGGCGGGAGTGTTGAGTGATATGATACCTAGGGATGGGAATTGAGAACCGGTTCTTGGTAGCCATTATGGACATTACTTTTATTTTTATCTTACACATGGACAAGAGCGTGATGGTAAAGTGTAAACTGCATCTAGGACAGAAACAGCTGCATTATGCTGCTAACATAACGTCAGCGCAAGCACCTGCACAGACAGCATGCTAACACCAAGCTAGCCAAACAGCAAGCTAACACTAAGCTAGCCAAGAACCCAGAGTGCTGATAAAGCTCAGTAAAGGCTGCCCCCAGCCCAGCAACCAGACCCTGAACTTTAACAGGTAATAAACTCATGTTTCAGTAGAATCATGGTGGCAATTGTTTTAAAGTGTCTTTTTGCTGGTTTTCATCTTTGCTTTTTGCTGTCAGCTTTGTGTTCTACTAAGAGAAAGATCATGTGTGTGTCCTTGTTGGGATAGGGATTTGTGTTGAGTTACTTTCTTGAGTAATGACCCCAACACTGATCACAACAAAGAGGGGAAATACCTGCGCAAATATCTGACCACACAGCATACATTAACGTGAACAGATGTAATGTCTTTGATATTCTGCTTAGAGATTGTGTTGACTCTCAAAGCCGAGCTAATGATATCCCAAAGAGAATCGATAGGTCACTCTGATAATGGAGTCGCAATCGCTAAATTCTTATGAATTCCCATCCTTAATGATACCCAATACTAAATGTTGATGATAGTAATTCATGATAGTAAGAATCATTATTTTAATTTTAAAACTGGTGAAAAACATTTGAATATATGAAGCCCACGGTTTCTACAGTGACTGTGCTGAGAGCCTGAGAGTTTTCTGTGTTTAAGGCAGCAAAGCTTTTTTTCCCCCTCCATAGGGATTTATAGTGAAATCTTTGTGAGGGCCACAGGTCTTCGGATTTCTGATGTACAAAGTTTCTTTCAACAGGTGGATGTTGCCACTGTAAGTAAAAAACAGCTCCCGACTTTGATGTTCCCACATCTGATCTTTACTTTATGCTCAGTGCAGTCTGGTTGGAATTTTCCCGTGGTTTTATTTACACAAATTTGATGCCATTAGATCCATGTCAGTTGAATTATTATTTGACAAAGATGGATCTCAAGAACCGCTATCATGCTGTAGATGTTTCTTTGATAATCTAATTATGTCTCATTCTTTGAATGGATTTACTTTGCCAAATGGATCATCGCGGCCTTGCCATATCGGTCCATTTGATCGACCTTTGTTGTTATTATTTATTTTATTTTATTTTCAGTTGTTACAGATGGGACAGACATGAGTGGGGGATAGGAAAGGGAGAAAGAAAGATGAAGGAAAAGAAAAACAGAAGGGAAGAGGGACAGTGAGAAAGGGCACTTAAAAAGAGGAAGAAGAGAAAAAAAATCTCCTGAATCACCTGTTGAGAGAAAAAGAAGAGAAAACAAGAAAAAAAAAAACAGGGCAACATACTAAACACAGTGGTGAGGGGA